TAAAGTGGAAATTATTTAAAACCAGCATTTCCAGTTTTAAAGAAATCATGTTAAGTCCAAAGTTAATAAGAATTTAAACCAAACGATTTAGCTACAAATTATTAGTTTTGATATGCTATAACATAATAATTTTTTTACTTGTCTACATCAGGGTATTGCTTTGGGTTGCATTATTCTCTTTTGTAATTAAGAATGTTTGCACTGGATAAAAAAGCTGTGTTCAAGTGCTATTTCTGCCACTTGTTACCTTGTGTCTGCAGGAAGACAAAATAAGCTGCTTCAATATCCTCATTTATAAAAATGGTAAAGACTGCTATTTTATAGGTTTCATATGAGAATAATAACATTTATTAACTGCTTATTATGGAAATTAATATAGTAACAAGTAAAAATTAATGTTGTTATATTTGTTATTTAAAACATCTTAGTAATATCAAAAGGGCATTCTTTTCTTTGAAATTTATTCATTTATTTGAAATTGTTGTGCCACCTAACAACATTTCAGACAATGATGGACTGCTTATACAGCAGTAACCCCTTAAGATTATCACATGAGATTTTTATTGTGTCTTTTCTATGTTTGAATACACAAATACTTGCCATTGTGTTACAGTTGGCTATAGTATTCAGTACCGTGACATGTACAGATCTGTAGCCCAGGAACAGTAGACCAAACCATACAGCCTAGGTGTGAGGTAGACTCTACCATCTAGGTTAGTATAAGTACAGGCTATGGTGTTCAACAACAGCAAAATTGCCTAATGATGCATTGCTCAGGATATATCCCTGTCGTTGAGTGATACATAACTGTATATATTAATATACTTGGAATAAAGAGAAAGGGAAAGTGTGAAGGAAGGAAGAAAAGGAGAAAAATCTGGTTGGAAATTTTGGAAAGAAGATAAAATTTGGATTTGATAGAGCAGGATGCAAGCTTACTTTGGGAGGAGTCCACCATGAGCGCTCTCCTTGAAGGCTGCTTCCTCCTTAAAGCAAATACAGAAATTAGACCATCTTTGTAGCATTACTCCCTTTCTGAAAGGTCAAGAGTAAGGCTTGAGACATTTTGGCAATCTTCCTGGCCCTAGAAGTAGGATGAATCAGTATACCTTATGATGTGAAGGGTAGCAAAAATGCTTTCTATCTTACCGTGAAACTATTTCCTTTGGAATCACAAAGGGGTCCATTTTCTCCAGAGAAAATAGACCTAACCAAACTGTAGGCTGAGTAGATGTCCAGAAATAAATTACATCCCAGACACTGTTATTACATGCACCATTTTAAAATTAAGGGCAGTCTGATGCCATTACATGGCAACTCTCACTTTAAAAAATAATAAAATTTTGTATGTGGTGCCTGAAATTGAAATCAAATCATTATTCTTTTACCAAAGAAAACTCAGTCAACAAAGTTGCTTATTTTGCTGCATTTTTCCCCTCATGATACAGAATACTTTGTTTCTCCTTATTTTAAAATCTCAATTAATTATCTTCAGATGAAAATTTTCATATTTGTCATTTTAAGTGGCTTTGTTGAGTCATTCTTTTGCAAACACCATAAAAATCCCTTTATAATACTGACATAGGCTATCAATCCTAACACCACTTCTCCTTTCAATACAAAATCTTGTTATGCCTCTAAAGATGAGTATATCCCAATCTTAATAATAACTATTCCTATTTCAGCAGAAAGTAATTCATAATGAATATTTTAGCATTTTCCTCTTTTCCTTGGAATTGAATCATTACAAATACTGACAATTTTATTTCTTTTCTATTCTTAAGTATGAAAAATCTGGTTCAGCATATGCTCCATTTTACATTTGAGCAATTTATGTCCCCTTTTCTTATGGTTAATATGAACTGCTTAATCCTGTGATTGTTTTTGTTTTCCACTTTCAAAGGGATCCTGGCAAAGCCTATGTTTATGAATTTGTACAAAATGTTTCAGACTACGGAAAATGTCTCTAAACAAATGCTCAAAATACATTGGTTTCTAACTCATATGACCCCCCCAACGTGATATTATATGCTTATTCAATAGTCTGAAATATATAAGAAATAGTTCTTAGCAGTAATTTTGCAAATTGTTCAGGATTTGCTTATCCATTTTACATTTGCATGTAGCATTGACATAATTTGCTATAACATCTCCTAGGAAATTATTTATTTTTTATTATGCATATATTATTTGAGCTATGAAGGTTAGTCTTAGATGTTCCTTCTCTTTTGTATTTTAAATTTTTTTTTCTAATTTTAGACAAGGTTTTCTTAACATCCTCTATGTCTTAGATTCACTGTGCAGGGGCATCCAAGGGAGAGAATACAGTCATGGGTTCTTAGTTTCTGTTTCTGGCTGGGCCAGTAAAGCCCCTTCCTCATCCCTCTTTTCTGCTTATCATTAGACACAGAAACCAAAAACTATGGCTTCAGGCTGCTAAAAGCCTGAAACAAAACAAAACAGAACAACAACAACAAAATAAGGCAGGTTGGACAAGCTCATGAGCATTACGTATGTCACTGCCTTGATAATAAATACCATTTTATTGCAGAATGCAACAGATATTTATTTGAATTATGCCCAATTCCAGAAAAAAATGGGTTTTCACAATTTTTTAATTATAGATATATCCATTGTTCCCATTTTAAGAATTGAACAATAATTAGTGTGTTTTTTTTGAAAGGCAAAGCCAGATTTGTCATTGAGACAGCTAAAAGAATGGAAGCAATACAGCCAGTTCCCAACTTATGAATGAGTTATATAACAAAATTGCTTTTAAGATGTTTTATTTCCATTTTAAAAGATGGACATTTATCCAGAGTAGCCACAAAAACAAACCTGTGAAAACGCACAGCTTATCCTGAACGACTATATTTTTAGCATTGGTTATGGCGACTGCGTGAGAGGGACACAAGGAAAAAAATGTTTCTCCAATTTTCCTGATATTCAATTGACCCTGTCCAAAATGCGAAAAATAACTAAAGCTGGCTTTTCACACAGCCTTTTCTCCCTCTCACACCTGTGTGTTCCTCCTGAGGTAACCCTGCTTCCCATCTGATATTCTCTAGCTGCCTTTTCTTTAAAGTGGTTCTGGCTTTGAATTTTCTAACCCAGCTTGTCTCTTGATCAGAATGACTCAGTACAGCTGGTTTGGGGAAATGTCTAAGAAAAAAGTAACTGATCACACCAGCCCTGCATCCTGCATCCCCTCTGCTTCTCCATTCCCCCACCCCCACCCCACAATTGTTAATTTCAATAAACAAGTAACTTAAGGAATTTTTGGCAATGTGGGGTCCTGGAGTGATAAATGTAGATGGTATGGGTGAAGATATTTGCAGACAGGAACCAAGATAGGTGGGATTTCAGCTTTAAACGCAGCATCCCCTGCACTGCTCTTGAAGTAATACATCTTCTTCAATTCTATACTTAGGAGTCTCTAGTTTCTTTAACACATACACATTTTCCCAGTGGGTCTCATGAAGCTTGGATAGAAGCTTTGTTAATGAGGTGTGTATTAGTTTGTTCTCACACTGCTAATAAAGACATGTCCAAGACTGGGTAATTTATAAAGGAAAGCGGTTTAATTGACTTACAGTTCCACATGGCTGGGGAGGCCTCATGGCAGAAGGTGAATGGGGAGCAAAGGCACGTCTTATATAGTGGCAGGCAAGGGAGCATGTGCAGGTGAACCCCTTTTTATAAAACCATCAGATCTCATGAGACATATTCACTATCACAAGAACAGCATGGGAAAGATCCGCACCCATGATTCAATTACCTACCATTGGGTCCCTCCCACAACAGGTGGGAATTATGGGAGCTACAATTCAAGACGAGATTTAGGGAAAGACACAGCTAAGCCATATCAAGGTGTAATAGGCTAGAGATAACTGTGCTTTATTTTTTCTAAAATGTAAAAGTAAGTGTAAAATAAATGATTATATAATATTGTTTGCCTGTATTTTAATTCTTTTCAATACCACAAATGTAAAACTATCCACTCATAAAGTAAATTTTAAGAGTTACCTCTATATGAAGGAAATCATCTGTATTAGCTATACCATTCCTTGTCCCTGACAACCCAAAAGAAGAAAATAATCAAGTTTTTCATTTTCAATTTTCATCATAACACTGAAAATAAATATAACTTAAATATTTTCAACAATAACCCCATGCACAATGATCAAACAATTACTGTTTGATCATTATGTGCTGGCATCAAAAATCATGAAAGTTGCTTGGTAAAGCCAGGACAGACCCTTGTACCCAGACAGCCCATCCCTCTGACCCAGGGCTTATGGAAACAGTGGATGCTGGTAACTGAACACTTACCCCCTGCTGCATGCTTCCCATGTCGTGTGAAGTATATATTCATATCTATATTTCATAAATAAGGAGATGGATTCTGAAAGGCAAACCAACTTGCTCAAAATAAAATAGCTTATACATTTTGAGCCAGATGTAGACCAAAGTCTGTGTAATGCTAAATCCTGTGCTCTTAGACTTTATGCAAACTGTTTCATGGGCTTACACTGCAATAATATCTGATGAATTTCTCTTTGCATAAGACAGTAAGCTCCACAAGTGTGGTAAGTAGAGCATCGTCATATCTCAGAACCTGACACACCAAAGGTGCTCAATGCTGGTTGAACCAAAGTGACAACTTTTTTACCTAGCTCTATCAAAGCAGTAACTTAAAGTTCTCTGTTCTCTTACTTTTTCTCACAAAAGGTATTCATGTCCCCAAACAAAGCCTATGTCCCTGTATCAAAACACTTTTATTTTCAAGAGCTGTATCTTTAGCCTTTTTTAAATTGTGATAAAATATATACAACATCAAATTTACCATTTTAACCATTTGTAAGTATACAGCTCAGTGGTATTAAGTACAATCACACTGTTGTTCAACCATCAGCAACATCCATCTTAAGAATTTTTTCATTTTCCCAAGTTCACTCCATACATATTAAACCATAACTCTCCATTCCCCCTCCCCACAGCTTCTGGCAGCCACTGTTCTACCTTCAATCTCTATGAACTTGACTATTCTAACTACTTCATATAAGTGGAATTATACAGTATTTTTCCTTTTGTAACTAGGTTTCATATCGTATAATTATATGATGTCAAGCTTTATCCTTTTTGTAGCATGTGTGAAAATTTTCTTCCTTTTTTAAGGATGAATAATATTCTATTGTATGTATATATCACATTTTGTTTATCAATTTATCTGATGATTTACTGAATAATGTAGTTGTCTGAAATGGAATCTTTTTGCCAATTCTTTAACGGAAGGATAAGATGCAAATATAGAAATGTAATGAGTTCATGATTTGTAGAACATCTCTCTTTTTATATCATAAACCCTAAAATTAATCAGGGAAAACTTGTTCAGTTTAGGCAATTGGCAAAATAAATAGATGGGTTTAAGATAATTTAGGACTTATGAGTTATAAATATGCCACATTTTAACTACTCAGGCTGGAATTAGCCTGTCTTCATTTGATTGTCTGTTTTTATACACTGACTGTTCTTGAGAAGATTCACAAAGCTAGAGGTATTTTTAAATTGCCAATTCTCTAAAATTAAATAAAATAATAGGGAGGGGAGCATTGATTCTAAATAAGAATGCAAATTTATAGCTGTCAAATTTTCTAATACTATCATTTAACTTCTAATCAGTATATTATGGAATATTCTTGTTCAAAAATTGGTGCCTGAATATTAAATGAATAAGAAGGAAATAATCTATACAGTTTTTAGTATTTTCAACAGCTTTCCTTATGTGCTAACCAATAATTTTTTAGCTGGGATTTATCAATGCAAGAGACACATTCATATACACATATGTATATATCCTTTAATACACAAACATTATCCTCTAATCCTCTAATCCTTACACTGAAAAGTAGACGTCATCACCGTGTTGCAAATGAGGAAGCAGAGGACTGGAAAGGTTAAGTGACTTTCTCAGTTAATAACTGGCAGAGTCAGCATTTGAGAACAGGGCTTCTAGATAGATACAAGGCTGCTGCTCTGTCACCTCACACTTCCTCTACATCTGTGCATGGTGCTGGGGCACAAAAATGGATGGGACAGTCTCACTCTGGAACAACTTATACTGGAATGGATGGACATTTTTAATTAATTAAAATATAATAGTATGAGGATTAGAGGGCTTTTGAAGCCAGCAGGTAGACATAGCTTAATAGTGCCTGAAAATCTTTGCAAAGGAAAGGGCATTCCACCTTGGCCTTACATGACTTCCTTCCACGCTGATTTTCCATTTTAATTAGTAAAGAATTTAGTTAAGCACGTGGTACAATTGGTTAAAGTTGAAGCTCTAATGAGATCATGAAGGTTAAATTGAGGTGTTTGAAGTTTATCTCTTAGCAGTGGAAAACAAATGTTTTAATGTTTTTGTTCGTGTTATTTTTTTCTACTTAATCTACCATTCTGTAGAAGCCTTAGCAATAAAACAATAGTAGGAGAAGAAAAAGATAAGTTTTTAAAAAGAATCCTTTTATGAGCCTATGCTAGCTTATTTTAATGTTCTTGCATTGTAGACATGATTAAAGATTTGAAGTGTGTGACTTTGCATGTTGATCAGAGTTAATCATCTTTCTCAAGTGCTGCTCAATAATATGATCCATAATGACATTTTGTTGTTATTTTCTGAGCTGTTGGGTGAGGCACTAAAGCTAGCTTCCCTAGGTCTATGTTGCTGTAAGTTACTTTAGTGAGGAAATTTCACAGTGCTGTCATGCTTTTGGTTAATACAGTTTTGTGTTTTGCTTGGGAAAGACAATTCTGAGAGTGTCCTATTGATTCAGATGTTTTCTGACAGTAGCTGCCTACCAGGCTTGCCTTCATTGACTTTTCAATGTTCTGTTACAAATAACTTGCATGTACAATTTGATATTGAAGAGCCTAGAAGGTTCCCCACTGTGCATGAAGTTAGAGCAGCCCTGAGTCATAGGGTAGTGAGTGCTTATTATCATTCTGAAAATCATCCACTTGTCCTGGGCTGTTGCCATAACAGAGTTGTGTTTTCTCTGTTATTCTTTTTTTTTTCTTTTCCTGCTTCTTTTATTCTTCCAGACATTCCAATGCACTTCTTATTCTTTAAAGGTTTAAACTTCATTCTAAATATCCCCCATGGTGACTGAAACTTGAAATATAAAGTCACAGGTGTTTTCTGATGTTTTTGAACACAGGAAATGCGAGATGGCTTGGATTGCAAGTACTTACTTTGTTAGTAAAATTTAAAAGAAATCTCTTCTGTGAGAAATGGTGAATGGTTAGAAACGTATTTTATAATCATAAGAAAAATATCGTTTATTGGATGCCTACCATCTGCCAAGATCTGTGCGTAGCAACTTTCATGTTATCTATAACATTGACAACTGTGTACGGTAGATATCATTAAACTATTTACAGATAAAGAAACTAAGACTTTGAGAAATTAAGTGACTTGTCCAAGAGATTACTTCTATCTTTCTAACTGTGGTTGACTTTTAGTTATCGAAAGTGATAGTAATGTCATTTGGATTTGCAGAGCACTTCACAGTTTACATAGCAGTTTCATATATGCCACCTCCTTTAACCTCACAAAACTGATAATTTCATTTTTCATCTTAATCTTTGTGAGACCATCTTGAGGCTCCAGATCAGAAATGGAGTATAGATGTACTTGTGCTGAAAATAACCCTTTGTTAATTAAGTTGGCCTCATTTGCAATAATGGTTTCATTTCTACCATTACTAGTTTATGCTTGCATTTTATCAGGGGAGAAGGCAGCTGGAGAACTTGCCTGTTGATGCCCTTGAAGGGTTTGTGGAATTGTGTTTACCCAGGCAATAGCTGCCTTTAGCAAAAACATAATAATATTTTTGAGACCCAACTGCTTTGCCCGTGAAAACTATATAGGAAATACTTAAATAGCTGCTCTTTCCTGCTGTCTCCTCCCAGGATCCCAGCCTGTGGCATCTCTGCCTTTCAAAGACATTCTACTGTGCAGTCTGTCCCTGTCTCTGCTTGTAAACCAAAGCATAATGTAAAAGTGGGGGAGGGAGATGGAGAACCTTATAGTATTACAAATAACATAACATGATAATGAGTAATAAGTACATTTCTGCCTCATCACCAGTATTTCCAAAACCCAATGGCATCAAATTCTCTGAAATAATTTAGGACTGTGAAGTGGGAATTGACTTAAAAAAAGATAAGTAAAAAGGTTGTTGGATTCAATAGAGAAAAATAATAAAATAAATACAGCAACATGTACAGTACCCTCTATCCCCCATGGAAACACCAAAGCAAACCACTCACTGTTCCAAAGACTATCATTTTTTTCAAATATCAGAGCTTTGACTCAGGAGTCTGACCTCACTTTTGCTGACCTAGCTCCTCCTGGGCAAGGTTAGTTTCTCCCTCTCTTCTGTGTTCTCAAAGCACCTAGGACATGCCACTGCTTCAGTATCCATCTCCTCTACTGAACATGAGCAAAATGAGCCTCCTCCTCATCCCTACCATTCCAGAGAGCAGTCCATCACTTGGAGCACAAAGCTTAGTGCACAGTAGATGATTCTATTCAGTCATGCAACATAACCAGACCTTGTGCTGGTACTGAGTGCTACATTTGGAGAATGTTTAAAGAAATGAGGAAAGAAGAAAGGGAGTGAAGAAGGTAGGGAATGTAGGAATGAGAGAGACAGAAAGAAAAGACTAAAGGAGGAAGGAAAGAGGGAGGGAGGAAGGAAGAAAATAAGAAAGCCTGGCCCAAGATGTGAATAAGCATGTGATGATTTAATTTATCACATAGTATTTCACACAATATCTATTATTTACTTTCAGTAAAGAAATTTATTTTGAGAATAAATTTTTTTTTGAGTATTTTCAGTATTTTATTAACAGATGAGCTGGTAAGTGGACAAGTGATCTGGTAATATCACCCCACCCTCACAGAGCAGCCACCACAAGCCTGCCATGAGTCTCCACAAAAACCTTGGAGGAGTCACATCCCACACTGCACACACCCCAGTACCTCCAGCTGTGAACGGGGGCCAGTATCCATACATGGGGAAGTGCTGAGAAGGAAGAAAATATTTCAGGTCTAATACTTATCCATCAAGCACCTTTTAGTCACGAAGCTTGGCACAAGCTTTCAGAGGGATAGTCCACAGTGGAGATGGGGGAAATGGTTTTGCAGAAGACTAGATATCAGTTCTTAAATGTTTCTCTTTCCACTAATTTCAAAGTTTATTTTTCTTACTACTAAAATATTTCCACTTTTATGTATGTGAAGATAATACTTGCTCACTCCTTAGTTAATACATTTTAGAAACTGTTTTATATGTTTTTATAATATAATATATGAAATGAGAATACTAAGGAATTTTATCCACCACCTACATGTTACCATATTAAAATATTCCTGAATAAAGTAAACCGCACCATAAATGTGGAGGATGGGCGACGGGGGTATGATTTTTCTTTTGGGTCTATGAAATAGATTGTGCTAATTTACACCAGCACTTCTAATAGCAACTAACCCTTCTGCACCCCAAACACACACACCATCTACTCTTCTCTCCAGCACTCTGTATGTTAGTTTAGTTTCCCTCTTTTATTCCCTAGCTCCACCCTCTTCAGACCTAAAAGAGAGAGAGAGAGAGAGAGAGAAGAAGAAGAAGAAGAAGAAAACCTCTTCTCATTTCTAGGGCTCCAAGGCGTCGCATTGCTGCCACTCTACCATTCTTCACACATTCAAATTAGAAACCCAAGGGTGGCCAGCGCCATGGCTTGCGCCCATAATCACAGCGCTTTGGGAGGCTGAGGTGGGAGGATTGCTTCAGCCCAGGAGTTTGAGATCAGCCTGATCAACATGGCAAGAACTCATCTCCACAAAAAATACAAACAAACAACAACAACAAAAGTAGTGGGCATTGTAGCACATACCTGTAGTTCCAGCTACTAGGGAGGTTGAGGTGGGAGGGTTGCTGAGTCTGGGAGATGTAAGATAGAGGCTGCAGTGAGCCTTTAGTGTGCCACTGCACTCC